GAGGAGATTGCCCGCTGCCTGCTCCAGAAGATGGGGAACACCAGCGAGTTCATCCAGAGAGCAGCCAAGCGGTCCCTGGGGGCCATGGTGGAGAACGTGACCCCTGCTCGCTCCCTTGTGGCCCTCACCTCCGCAGGCGTCTAGTATGTGGCTCAGGTCCCACCTGGTACTGTCACCATCTCACCCATCTCTCCCTCTCCCCCTCCTGTCTCAGTTCGGTTCTACAGGTGTGCATTAAGCTCCCACTGAGTGTGCAACAGGGAGGGGGAGGGGACCTGTCCTCACCCCCAGGGAGCTGGCAGCCCCACAGGGGGCCATATAGTGCAACTCTGCTTCCCAGAGGACAGAGACAGTGCCACCCCAAAGGAGATATCAAATTCTGCCTGTGGGGCTGGGAAGGAAGAGGAGAATTTGAGGGGGTAGGATTTTTCTAGGTGGAGGGAAGATGGGAAATGCATTTAGACAAAAAGGAGAATATGCGCTCAGGAAGGCCTTGAGACGGAGCGCGGTAAGCACGTGCTGTATTTGGGGAACCTTGTGTAGCTTGTTGTGGTTGTCCTTCCCTGTCCCCAAGTTGTCACCTATTATTAGAAAGTGAGAACTCTTTCTTCAAAGATTCCTTCAGCCTACACGGGAGAGGCTTTGGAGCCCATGACTAGTATGGCAACATGGGTCTATAATGATAGGGCCTTGTGCACCGAGTGGGGACCCCCAGAGCCCCATCCCAAGACTGACTCTTTGGCTGTCATTATATTTCCTTCCAGCCATCGAAACCCCTTAGTCCGGAAATGCACCGCTGAGCACCTCTCAGCCGTCTTGGAGCAGATCGGTGCCGAGAAGCTGCTCTCGGGCAGCAGGGACAGCACGGAGATGCTGGTGCACAACCTGGTGAGGCTGGCCCAGGACTCCAACCAGGACACCAGGTAGGGGGGCCGGGGCGTGGGACAGATAAGGCAGCCAGCCTAGGGGTTCTGGCCCACCTCCCAGGGGCCATGCAGAGGACAGAAGCTGCTGTCCATCTTTTCTAACACAGTAGCCGAGCTGTTCATCCAGGAAGTGGTCAGTGCTCCCCGCCCCTACTTCCCCACTCCTGTCTCTCTCTGCCCATTGAGTGCTGCTCTGGTTCCCATCCCAGCCTCCTGGAGACCACTCAGTCCTTTTTCCTAGAACTATTAATGTCCACTGTTTTCGTTTTTATGGAAATAGGAGTGAATAAGAACGATTAAGCCCCTGTGTTGTGGAGCCTATCTCCCAGTGAAAGGAGAAAAATAATAAAGAAATAACTATGATAATTTTGACACAGATAAGGGATATAAAGAAAAAACCCAAGAAGATGTAATGGAGAGTGAAACGGGGGCTGCTTCAGATGGAGGGTTGGGGGGATCTTTTATTAAGAGTGGCATTTGAGTTGAGAACTGAATGACTAAATGGAGACGGCTCTTTGAGCATAGGGTGGGGTGGGGTTGGGTGAGATCACAGGTTAAGGACATGGTACAAGGGTCCCAGGATAGGAACCAGCTTAGTGTCCAAGAGCATTTCAGGGCAAGGATGGTAGGCTGGGTAAAGCATAGCGAATGAGCAGGCAGGAGCAGGCCTAGGCCATGGAGGGCCTCAGGCCAAGATCAGGAGTAGGGATTCTGGGCTGTGTGTGATCAGAAGCCATCAGAGGGTCTTTGGGAGGGTTTTGAGCAGGAGAGTGATAGGATGTCTTCAAAAGCCAGGGCTGGGGCACGGTTCTTCACACTCCTCAGTTCCTGGTGTCACCACCACGTCTGTGTGGATGTGAATGTATGTGTAGTTCCTCCTTCACTCCATCCGCACACCCAGCACAGCTCCAGAGCCAAGTGCACTCTGCGAGAGTGGTATGTTCCAGGCAGGGCACTCCTGCAGGGAGCACGATGGCTGGCTGCTCCTCCCACCTTCACTGCAGGGAGTAAAGCTGCAGGGTGCCTCCTTGCACGTGCCCCCTGCTGGAGGGGGGTGTCTATCTTGGTGCAACCCTGCTGGATCAGATGTGTGTGCATGCTCAGGTAGCCATGTGTGGCCTGGAGCTCTTCAGCTTGCTACCTGTGTCTGACACCCTCCTGCCAGGCCGAGGTGCTACCTCCCTGCAGCCTTGCCAATGAGGGGCAACATCAGATTTCTAATTTTTATCCATCTAATGGGTAAACTTGATAGCTTGTTTCAGAGTGTCTCTTCCCCTGATTGTGAATAAGTCTGAGTATATATTATATGATTCCTAGCCTTCTGACTTTTAAAACAATCTCTCTGGCTGCTGTGGGACTAATAATGGGAGAGAGAGGCAGGGGTGGAGAGGGTCAGCAGACAGACGGCAGCCCCATTGTCCAGGCAAGAGGGGCTGGAGGCTCAGCCTGGAGAGGGGAGGGTGGCTCTGTGTGTATTTCAAAGGCATAGCCTACAGGATGCTGCTGCTGAGGGTTTTAGAAGGAATTGAACAAAGGATAGTGCCATTTACCAAAATGAGAAATACTGGTGAGGGTTTTAGTTTGTTTGTTTGCTTTTAATTGTTGATAGAGGGACGGAAATCAAAATCTACCATTTCTCCAGATCTACTATCCCTCTTCTGACCTCTGTCTTACGTTGCATGACGTCAGTTATGTTTCCTTTTCCTTTCCTCTACTCTTGGGCTTCTCCAAGTCCCTCTGTGGCCATTCTCCCCCTACCCTCTGTATGACTCTGTGTCTGCTGAGGGGTCTTAGTTCTCCTCTTCCTCTCCTGGCTTCCATTCCAGCCACCAGTGAGCTCTGACACCCCCATTCTTTCCCTCTAGCCCACAGCCTTCTTTGGGCACCAGTCCTACCTCTCTCACTCCTCTATGGGACCCTCCATCACAAGTCCCATTTTCATCTCCAGGGCACAGTGTCCCTATGGGAACTCATTGTCTTCTTTCCAAACTTTGTTTCCCCTCTACTGGCAAAAGTCAGTGTTATTTACCAAGTCACCCAAGAAGCACAGTAGGGAGTCTCATACTTCATTGAGTCTAAGACACATATCTTAAGATCCCCCCACGTTTTAGTATTTTTGAAATTGGCACGTATCTTACAGTCAGAGGCATCCCACCATTACTGCTGCCAGGCAGCAGTTATGAAGTGAGATTCTCTTTTGTTTGTGTCGTTTTTAGAGATTGGGTATCACTGTGTCGCCCAGGCTGGAGTGCGGTGGCTTGTCAAAGGCATCATCAAGGGGCACTACAGCCTTGAACTCCTGGGCTCCAGAGATTCTCTGGCCTCCTCCTCTTGAGTAGCCGGGTGGCACACCTTTCACTATCTGAATATTCACAAACTTGATCATTGTTGATCATTGTTTAAACTTCTTCTCTAAGCCTTTCGTGGCTTGTCAACATTTTGACTCAATTGGGAAGTAATTTTGGATGCTCTGTGGAAAATTTATTGAGTTTAATCGCTATTTAAAGTGCCTTATATTACTTGGCATTGAAATGAGCAGTCACTGTGTATGAGAAAAGGCGTGGCAGGAGAGCAGTGGACAACCACTGGGCACCACGCAAACACGCCTTGTGGAAGGAATGGCCAAATTCCACATTTTCTTGCAAAGTGACCACTAAGAACTTTCTCTGACCTAAGGAAGGAGAACACTGATGCGTCGGTTGCCTTCTGTTCCTGGGGCAGTGTGCGGAAGGGGTTACCTGCCCACGTGGGCGGCAGCAGTGGAGGCAGTAGGAATTGCCAATGTTTCCTTTTTCTGTTTTTTACTTTGTGGAAAAAAGAAGCAAGAGTGCATTTTACAGTTAATGGAGTCTTAGGCTGAGTGAAATGTAATTCTAGATGCTTCCTGTTCCACCTCCAACCAGCTATCAAATCTTGCAGTGGCACCCACCTTGGCAGCTTCTGAATCTGACCACCCCTCCTCTCTGCACTCTGCTGCCTCATCTCAGGCCTTCACTATGTCCCATCCAGACTGTCTCCTGGCTCCCAGCCTGTCTCCTCTGATCTTCCACTCCACAGTGCTGCTGGAGACATTTTGACTACTGTGCAAATCTATTCATTCTTCAGCTTCCTGCTGCCTGCAGGCTGAAGCCTTACTCCTTCCTGTTGGCCACACAGAGTCCTACCATCTTCTCCAGCCTATCCTCTCCCTATGTCCAGCCCCTGCCCACTCTTCTCCAACCATATTCTGCTGACATGTCGGACTGTAGTGTGGACCCTGGAGTGACCCTTCTCCTCCTATGTGCTCCCCAATACCACCCCACTTGTAAACTCCTACTCATCTCCTGAGTCCTATGCTAAGGGTCACCTCTCCTATGAAGCCCTCCTTGATTTCCTCCTTCTACCACCCTTGTTCACCAGGTAGAGGTGGCCACTCTCTCCCGTTCCATCTCACCACGCCCTTCCCCAGACTTCCAAATGTTCCCCATGAGAAGAAAGTTAAGTACAGTTTGGTACCGCCATTCAACAGAATAATGTGTAGTCATTTTCACTGAAAAAGATATTTATAAAGAGTTTTAAGTGACATGGGAAGATTAGTGAAAAATCTGGGTACAAGTCATATACACATCTTGACAGCAACTAAACTGTATATGTATAGAAAAAAGACTATAGGAAAGTACATAAAAATTTAATAGTGATTTTCTCTGGGTAATGGGATTATGGATGATGTTTGTTATTTTATGAATCTAATTTTTAACTGGGTAGAGATTACTTTAATAACTTAGAAATAGTATTAAAAACTCTTTTACTTTAATTAGAAAATTAAACAAAGCTGTAAAGCAAATTTATTATGCCTTTCTGAGGCTGTTTCTTCATCTTGCTCTTTCTCCTGTGACAGGTTTTATGGCCGGAAAATGGTGACTATCTTGATGGCGAACACGAAGTTTGATGCATTTCTAAAGCAGTCCCTCCCATCACATGACTTGCGGAAGGTCATGGCGGCCATTAAGCAGCGGGTGAGTTGTGGGGCATGAGAGGGTCACAGACTTTTGTGGGCAGGAGATGGGCAGCCCTCAAAGTGGGTCAAGGCATGAGAGTGGATTCTAGAGGCTTTAGTGTCATTCACTACTCCTGACAGGTGGGATAAATGGCATTTCTGTCCCCTGTGCTGACACTTGGTTCTTCCCCTTACTGCCTATGTTCCTTGATCCTCCCTGGGTCCCACCTTCATGCATTACACATGGACCTTGAACTCTGCCCTACCTAACTTTAGGGCTCTGGAAGGCCCAGCTGTGACTCCCAAGGCTTTCCAGGTGGGAGGACTTAGAGCTCTTATTATGTCTACATCGGGAGGTTCGGCCGTTCCCTAGAGGGCCACTTCTTTTGATTCATGTTGTGTCTGTATTTTTCAAGGGAATTGAAGATAATGATGAACTTTCATCTGCCAAAGGCCACAAGGTGTCCCGGAGTCTGGTGTGTGAAAATGGGCTACCCATCAAGGAGGGGTACGACTTGTCTCTCTGGCTCCACACCCAAGGCTGCCTGCAGAGAGCAGCCTGCTCGCCCATGGCTGGGGGTGAACGTGTGGACCCAGGGTACAGCTGAGACCTAGTTGGGATTGCAGTCCTAGCAGATGAATTTATAGGATGTGTTCCCCGAGATCTCAGGGAGGTTGAATCCTGGACTGGGAGCCTTTGATAGTACAAGTCGGTTACTGTGGGTCTTGGCCAAGTGGGTACAATCCCACTAGCTCCCTGATGCGTTGGTGCGTTTGGGTTGGGCTGTCTGTGTGAGCTTGGCGTTTCTCCACTTGCTTAGATCAGCAGACCCCTTAATGACCAGAGTGGCCAGCCTGGGACTAGTTGAGAGGCAGAACTAGAGCACAGGCAGGTGAGAAGGTATGGACTGAGAGGTGGAGGGGCTGGGAACAGTTAGAAACCAAGCAGGAACCCAATGGTCACTCCTATGCATGAAACTTAAGCCCTTCTACAGTGTCCTGGGTGGATCACATCTTGAACTCCTCAGTGGGGCACCAGAGAAGCCCCCAGGCCAGCTATTTAGGGGTAATTTCCTGCACTTTCCCCGACTCTTCCTCTGCAGCCAGACCCAAGAGCAGCTCAGGGCCCTTCCCTCTGAGGCTTCTCTCCCTACTCCATGGACCACACCTAGAATGTGACTATTGATTTTGTACGATTCCGCTCACCTGTCTCCTCCTCCCTGCCGCTCCCTCTGCCTCCCTGTGCTCAGGGTGGACAGACCCTGTCATCCCAGCTGACTCCTCTGTCTCCCATTGGTCTGGGAGCTCAGCACCCAGCAGAGCTCTTGGCTGTCAGTAGGCAAGTGTGGAGTATGAGCGACAGAATGAATGATACTGGGCTCGGCTGGGTGGGACCTGGGTGCCGGGCGTGAGCTCAGCCTCCCAGGCTTTCAGGAGAGGGTGGGGGTTCGGAGTTCTGCAGCAAGTTGCTTCATGCTGGCTGGAACAGGCCAGAGCGCTATGACTGGGGTGTGATCCCAATGTGAGATGGTGGGTTTCCTGGTGTCTCCCCAGTCGCTGGAGGAATGTAAGCAGAGCCTGGCCAGGTAGGGCTCAGGACATAGCAGCCAGGAGAAGGTTGGCCATCCTGACCTCTGAGCTCTTTCCTGGCTCTGGGCTTAATGGCACACCCGTCATCCTTTCAGGACACCCACCCCCCTCGTATCTCCCTCCCATTCTTCAATAGCTTCTGAAAGGAGAGGGAGGGAAAAAAAAAGGCAGAAAGAGAGAGCCCTGCCCCTGACAAGAGGATAGGGCCCTATAGAACTATATTGTTGTCCCTTAAGGAAAAGAGACTTCCAGAGTTCTCAAGGCCCATGTCCCCAGGCAGCAGGTGGAGGAGAAGCTGGGGTAACCAAGCTGCAGGTGACACTCTTATCTCTGCCCCACCTGTGTGTGGGAGAGGAGCATGGGACTGAGGTGTGTTCATCTCCACCTAGGCTCAGCTCCAATGGCCCCCGGCTGCTGGGGCTGCGGGCCTCCCTGCGGGGCACTGGAGAGATTGGGGAGCAGCTTCGAGAGCTGACTCGGCTGCTGGAGGCCAAGGACTGCAGGTCCCGGATGGAGGGCGTGGGACGACTCCTGGAGCACTGCAGAGCCAAGCCCCAGCTCATCAGCTCCCACCTGGTGCAGGTGTGTGCTGCCTGCCCCGCTCTCCCACCTGTCTCTGTCCTGTGGCGCAACTTCAATGCAGAAGATTCTGAGCAGGGTTAGGCATTGTGTCAGACCTCTTAGGGCAGTGGTTCTCAACCCTCCTAATGCCACAGCCCTTTAATACAGTTCCTCACATTGTGGTGACCCCCAACCATAAAATTATTTTCGTTGCTACTTCATAACTGTAATTTTGCTACTATTAATGAATCGTAATGTAAATATCTGATATGCGGGATATATTTTCATTGTTACAAAGGGGTCGCAACCCACAGGTTGAGAACCGCTGTCTTAGGGTGTAAGGGGCTAGGTGAGAACTTGCTATCCAATTGCTTTCCTGTGAACATGGAAAGGCTACCGGGAAGTGGCTGAGGGAGTGAGCACACCTTGGAAACAATGTTCTAGGCATCCAGGTGTCTGTCATCCTCTAGCAGATTTTTGGTGAGGAGGCTAAGAGGTAGGGAATACTGTGACTGAGGCCTGGGTTGCTCTGGCCAGGGAGGCAGAGCCTGGAGCTGGACAGGGGAGTGGGCCATATGGCCGGACAGGGGTTAGGAGCAGGCACCAGCCTGTTCCTGCTGAGTGCCAGGTGGACGCCTGATGACTCCTGCAGTGAGACTCCTGACAGTCACAAGCAGAGCAGACACAGCCTCAGAGTCTGTGTTTCCGTCCAAGTTTCTCACCAGCTGTGTGATCTCAGGCAAATGGTTTAACCTCCCAGAGCTTCCACTGTTGTTGTTTACGGAAAGCGGGGATGACAGCATATGCTTCATGGTGTGGAGCTTCTTCAGTGAATGGGAGAGGGCAGGCACCTGCTGAGGCACTCAGGTGCTGGCCCCAACTGAGCGCTCAATACATGTTAGTTCTTCCCGTCTTGCCCACCCCACTCGGAGGAGGTGAGCGCCCCTTCGCTGGGTGTGCTCTGACATAGGTCTGGGATGCAGGAGGAGTCCCTGCTGGGGGCAGGTGGTGGGGCTGGGTGAGCTCCAAGCCACTTGAGTTGCCAGACCCCTGCCCAGCTGGCCTCCACGGGCTCCTGATTTCTCTTCCCTCAATAGGTCTTTGATGCTTTCACCCCGAGGCTTCAGGACTCCAACAAGAAAGTGAACCAGTGGGCACTGGAGGCCTTTGCCAAGATGATCCCCCTCCTCAAAGAGGGCTTGCAGCCCATGCTGCTCTCCATCATCACTGCTGTTGCAGACAACCTCAACTCCAAGAACTCAGGGATTCGTGCTGCTGCTGTGACTGCATTGGACGTGATGATTGAGAGCCTGGGTGAGCTTCCTGCCTCAGCCCTGCAGGGCTGTGGTGGGCAGGTGGCTCCCTGGCCACTGTGTCCCCCTTCCTGCCTGGGAAAAGTACACCAGTGGATAAGGCCTTGGTGGGTTCTCAGGCCAAGTGTTTCCCAGAGGCTGTGTGGGGCAGAGGTGGGGCCAGGGCTTCTGAGGCATTTGAGTGGCAGCCTTTTCCACGCCACATCCACCGTGTGTCTAACGAGTTAGAAGTGGAGGTGACATGGACACGTTCTAGTCCAGCCTCCTCATGGACACACAGGGGAATGACCACTCAGGGCCACCCAGCACCACAGCAGGCGAGTCAGGAGTGCAGGAGAAGGCTTCATTGGGTCACGGGTTGGGGAAGAGAGGGTAGAGTTGGAGGGGAGGAAAGAAGGAAGAAAGGGTGGAGCTACGGAGGTGACATCAGGGCCCGCGAGAGCTTCTCCGTTCCCAGGTACTCTGCAGCATCACATCTGGCTTCTTGAACATTCAGTGGAAGTTTTGGTTCATCTACTACTGTTCTTCTATTCCTTTCATTGATGATGGAAGGTGGCATTCGGTGTAGCCAGAGTGCAGACTGAAGTGCAAGCCCCAGACTACGTGTGTGTTGCAAGGTGGTGCAGGAAGAAACAGGTGCAGGCCAGTAGAAAGATGAGTTTTCACAAGCAAGTCTTGCCTTGGTGTGAGGAAGCTTATGGTCTGAAAACTGTGCTTGCCTGTCACTGTATGTCCCCGTGAGCACAGAGCAAGGTCTTTAGCATTTGAAGACCATGGTGGTGAGGCTGGAAACACCTCCCGGCACACTCACCCCCATGTCCTGGCCTGTGCCCAGCTCCCTAGGGCTGGAACAGCAGCTGTGTCCTTGGCTGGAGCTTCCCAGAGACATTCCAGTTACAAATCAAAGGCCTAGTCAGGCCCTTCTCTGCCTCTCGAGTTCATAAATATTGTCAATTTTCACTCTTCATCTTAGAGGGAATTTATGATTTGCTGAGTTTGTTGCTGTAGAACAAACAATATAAATCCAGCTCTAAATTACGGCTGTTCTCAGTGCTGCTCTGGGTAAGTGAGATTGCTGTTGCCAATAACCAAGGCTCTTGGTAAATCACCGCGGGCCCTGGATTTATTGGGAAAACCTGCGCCAGGCAAACTAGGCTTTAGCTATTTGAAGAGGATAAGCACCCCTGTCTCGGGAGAGAGGTTTTTTAACTCTTCCCTGTCCAGCTGTGTTAGTTTCCATTTTTCCCTTGGCTTTGCCTCCTAGGGCTTGCTGGAGCTCTGGGGCTTTCGACAAGAGAATCCAGCGTCTCACAGTGTCACGAGACTCAGTTCCCCTTTATTTGGGGCCCTGCTGTACCCATGTTGTGGTCTGGGCTTCCTGGAAGAGGACCCTGGATGGCCTGATTTTTATGGTCTAAACTCACCTTGAGGCAGGCTGCAGCTACCAGGAAGCCTCCTGGAGTTCTGTCTTCTGGGACAGGGTCTCCTTGGATATGGCTGATGATGGCCAGAGGCTTCAGTGCAGGGGAATAGAGGCAGGTGTTAGGGGACTGTCTTCCTCTCTAATCTCTAGGTCAGTTCCCCAGGCTGGAATGAACGGAGCCCAGTAAATTCTGTGGAGCCCAAGGGTGAAATTCATTGTTTTGGTTCTAGATACTTATTGAGCAGGTGAGGCAGTGGCACTCTGGGCCACACCCTCTCTGCCCAGCCAGCAGCCCTGGTAGCTATGAAGTGACAAACTGATTTCCACATCTGTGTCGGCCAAAGCCTGAGGTATTTACAAGGATTCATATTGCCAGGGAATACCCAGCGTAGAATCTCGCACTCTCTGGGAATAGGCCTCTTTTGCCTGTTATAGTCTGAGCCTGGGTGGGTGGGACAGAAGAGAAGGGACACATGTCTTCCCAAACCACCCAGGCAGCGCCTGGTGGTTCTAGTATTTTCTTGGGGGACCCATAACCCTTCAGGGCTCGCCTGGAAGTGGTTAGGATTGGATCTGATCAATTTCTTTGATGGGAGGCGTTTTCTCCCAGGCCTGCTCCTTCATGCCCCATAAGGGATTCTGGGCTCTGGGGTGAGGTAAGCTGAATGCTGTGGGAGACTTAAATGTGGAAGTATCCACTATGTGGATGTTGTATTTGTTTCCAGCTAAGTGTAGGAGCAAAAAGGTTTAAGATGTTGGGGGCGAGGCCTTCTGCTGTCACAAAGTCAGGTCACACAGCAGAGTAGGAGGCTGGCCTTCCTGGGCAAGCTCTTGGGTCTGGAATTCTGTGGTAAGGAAGACTCATCCCTGAGATCATCCCTTCTGGCCCCCCGCTCTTTGCAGGGTGGGTGGGATCGAATGATTTGTGGGTTAACAGAGCAGGTGGAGATTTCTGCTCATGATCCTTTCTTAGGGGTGGTGAGGAAGGGTACAAGTTGGCAGCTTGCTCCCTGACCTCTGCCATTTGTCACTGTCTGCCTTGGGGCCTCTCCGGCTTTGAGGCATGAGTGATATTCTTCTACTCAGCACCAAGACCTTCTGATTTCAGGGGAATTACTCCAGGGATCAAGGAAGGTCCTGAGAAGGCTGTCTTTGGGCTGTGCTTTTGGGTTAGTTACAGAAGAAACTTCACTAATTAAAACATCAGGCTGCTGACAGCTCAGCTCATCCCCTCTGTTAGATCTCCATGCTGAGACTTCTCCGTGCCAAAAAGAACTCTCTTAATTTAGCCCAGACCCTGGCCAGTACTGTGGAGAGTAGATAAGCTTGGAATGGAGGTGGCTTCAGAGCAACTCTTGCTCTTTCTGACTTTAAACTTACCACCTTACATAAATCATGTGACCAACATTGTATTTTAATGGAACTTAAAAACTCATCTGTGATGTCCCTCCAATATACTTACAGCTTAAAAATACCTCTTACCTTCTATTTCTTGTCTGCCTGGGTACATATTTCCCTGGTTAAAAATCATAATGCAGGGCGGCACTTGTGGCTCAAAGGAGTAGGGGGCCGGTCCCATATACCAGAGGTGGCAGGTTCAAACCTGGCCCCGGCCAAAAATCATCATGTAAATACGATTTTGATTTTTCTTCTTTCATTTAATCTTACCCAGTTTCCCATGCTGGGTATACAGTCTTTCTAGTTAACTTAAAAAGATAAAATTCACTTCCACTACTGTAAAAGTTATACTTATCGTTGAGAAAATGGGAAATACAAAGAGCATTTGAGAGGAAAAAAGAAAAAACACTCACAGTGCCGACTCCTAAAAGAAAACGTTATTAACATTTGGCATTTTTCATTTTAGTTTTTTTCTGTGCATATCTGTGTGCAGAGTTGTGATCGATTATACATTGGAATTTGCATCCTGCTTTTAAGAAATCAGAGCACGAGAATTTACACCTGATTATACACTTGACCAGCTCCGCGATGTGGCTTCGCCTGCACCGTAGCTTGCGTTTCTGTGGGTCATTCCCAGTTTTTTCCTGAGATGACCATGCCTGGTGCTGATAGCCACATGAACTTGGCTGTGTCGTGTAGCATAGCTTACTGAGCCTTGCAGTTATTCCTGGGAGTCCAGTTTGATGCCAGTGTCTTTGCTTCAATTGTCCACAATACCATGTGTTTTAAATTCTTTTTTTGAGGCAGAGTCTCACTTGGTTGCTCTGGGTAGAGTGCCATGGTATCATAGCTCACAGCAACCTCAAACTCTTGGGCTCAAGCAGTCCTCTTGCCTAGTTTCCCTAGTAGCTGGGACTATAGGTCTGTGCTAGTATGCTGGTAAGTTTTTCTCCTTTTTTTTAGTGGAGATGGGATCTCACTCTTTCTCAGGCTAATCCTGAACTTCTGAGCTCAAGCAATCCACCTGCCTCGACCTCCCAGAGTGTTGGATTACAGGCATGAGCCACTACATCCAGCCTGTTTTATACTTTCTTAAAAGTTCATCTCTGAGCCTCGTAGCCTGAGGATGATGTGGCCTGGTGGCCTCAAGACTTGATGAAATGGGTCAGGAGCAAGGCCCATTGGATGTCTACCCCACTGTAGAGAGGGTAGCCAGAGCCCAGGGTGGACAGGGTCTGCCCTGGCCTGTAGCTGGTGGCTGTTTCCTCTCCATGGCGGGCCAGTCTTAGCTTCCTTGTAATGCAGAAGAGGAGGCTGTGTTAGCGTGGGCTCAGGGAGCGCGGATTTCCAGCGTTCAAAAGTTAGATTCTAGCCTCTTCACTGGTCTTTCCGCCATGAAGGTTGCTGGGCTTTTAGAGCATTTTAGGGCAATAATGGTGATAATAACAATAATTACCGATGCTTACATAGTACTTACGCACTCTAGACACTGTCGTATGTTAGCTCACTTAACCCTCTATGTCAGCAACTCTGTGAGCAGGTATTAATATCATTCTTATTTTAGAGATGGGTAAACTGAGGTATAGAGAAGTGGCTTGTCCAATGTTCTATAGTAAAAGGTAGAGCCAGAATTCAAACCCAGGTGATCTGCACCCTGCTTCCATCCTTAACCCCTCTGCTTTAGTGTCTCTCATTGAACCTGAGTGTGACCTGAAAGGTGAGCCTTCCCTGTAAATCAAGGGAAGGGACAGGCCACCTTCTTGGGCATAGTGCTCTGGGGTTTAAAAACCAGCTCAGACAAACTGTGTCTCTATTGCCCTGTACTCCACAGGCTTCTATGCAGTACCTGTTGTGTGCTGTGCACAGTGGGAGTGTTTTCCGGCCCGGGTATCTTGAGTCTGCATCTTCCAGTACACAAGTTCACTTTCTGGCTCTGGGAGACCATATCAGGCTCCCCCAGAGCCCAGGAGTGGGGATCTCCAGCTGCATAGAGAGAATGTCTGAGACTGAGCATTGTGAGAGGTCACCAAGGAGAGAGAAGTTCTTGTCATCAAATGGGAGCTCGGGGTAAATGATGGCAGGACAAATAGAAACACCTGGAACCACTAGCACAGGGGATGTGGCTATGAAAACCTGTTCTTACACTGTTACAATTTGACCAAGACACCCAGGGACCACGTCTTGCTAACCGCACTATTCTAAAAGCTGGCTTCACTTTTATCTCCAAGGACAAATTATTTTAAAGACTCTTGCCTTGTGGATGAAGCTTTTGCAAACACCAGAGATGCATGTGTGTACATTTCCTCCTCTGTATCCCTCACAGGTCTCGGGAGGGAAGCAGAAATTTGCTCTTAGCTAAATTTGTTACCTGATGAGAAAAATGAAGCTTTGAGTGCACTTTGATGGGGATGCTGAGGTGCTGAAGGAACTTGAAAAAACGTGGGACTGTCTGGAATGACTTCCACAGGCAGGGCTCTAAACTCTCCCCCATGCAGAGAGAAGTCTGGGGCCCAGGACGCCTTGCTGGGGCGGCTGCAGTAATGACCATGCAGGCCTTCCTTGCTCACCTCCCTGGCGGGTGCGGGCAAGGCACACAGCCACATCCTGAAACATGCATTTTGTTATTTGCCCCACCTCCCATTCATTCAAGCTGTGACTGCTGCTGCTGTAAAATGCTGGGAGCAGGTTGTGCTGGTGGCCCCTCCTACAGAGAAGCCAGAGGGCCTTTTTACCCTGACACACCCCCGCCCCCTTTGCTTGTGATTTCACCATTAGTGGCTCCTCTCTGCAATAGACACTAGTACCTTTTTGCTTCTTTTTTAAGACACACAGGTGGCGGTACTCAGTCCCCAGCATGCTTCACCCTAGGAGCTGGCTGGGGAGCTTGGAAGCTGCGCCCCTGGGACTGGGTGTGGCCAGAGGGCTGGTGGAGCTTGGTGGTGGTGGTTTTGGGGTACAGGGACAATTTTAAAAATAGTTAAAAAATCACTCTTTCCCCCAAACCTCTGAAGGGTGAACTGGGGTATAAGGAGGATATGTCCATGCTGGGGCTCAGGCTACTTGAACTTTACCAGCAAGGGGAAAATCAGACCCAGGCGGTGGGTCCATATAGATGATTAAGAGCTAAAATGTGCTTCTTCAACTCCCAAATTCCCTACCAGAGCCAGCCAGGTGCTTCTACACCCAATGGGATGACCAGGCATTCAGGTTCCTTGGGACGTGGGACTGCCAGGGTTATAGTGGGGAAGCCCTGGGCAGACCTGGGCAGTTGGTCACCCTGGCTCCAGACCCCAGGTTCTTGGTTATGAGAGCACAGTGCTGCCCATTCTGCATCAGAGGAGCCTCATGAGGGGGATGGGGACTGTGTCATTTAGTTCCTAGCTTCATGCCTATTACATAGAGGATGTCGGCGAGTGTTCAGGGTGGAAATGAACCCCCTGGCTGCGGGTTCATCTTACTGGTTAGAGCACAAGTGCAGGCTTTGAGGAGAGCTGTAATTGCTGAGTTTTGACCCCCACCCTTTACTGATCTTTGTGTTACCTTGGCTATGTGCCTCAGTTTCTCCCCAAATAATTGGTAAATCCATCTATATCATTTACCTGTCTCTCTTTCCATCTATCTACCCCCCTTTCTCCAAATCTCATGGAAATTTTGAGAAGCACAGACAATAGGAACCCGATCTGTAGGAGGCAGTTTAACTATATTTCATTCTAAAACTGTTTGTTTACTCTTCCCCAAATACCCAACATATCTTCCCTTCTTAAGCGACCCCACTGTGACCTGGAAAATTAATTCAGCTCCCCGAAGGGCTTTTTCCCAGGCAGGTGTTGTGGGATGGAGGCCCTGTGAACGGTGTGTGCTTGCTTTGGCCACTGACATTCTTCCTCTCTTTCAGACAACCTCTGCCTCCTCCAGGCCTTTGCTGGACGGGTGCGTTTCCTGAACGGCCGCGCAGTGCTGGATGTCACAGAACGCTTGTCAGGTGAGCCCTGTCCCACCCCCTCCCTGGGGGTCTCTGTTGTCTCCTAGCCTATGTTTGAACCGTCCACTCACTTACCTGAAATAATCCTCTCAGATCATTTAAAAATGTCGATAATCTGATTTTTTTTTTAAGTGGGAAAACAATCTTTGCTTTTGATCAAAATGAGGCAGGTTTGTACAGAACCAAAATAGTTCTAAAGAAAATATTACAGGTGAAATATCCTTAGTTTGAAAATCTGAAATGGTCCAAAATTTGCAACTTTTTGAGCGTCGACATGATGTTTAAAGAAAATTCTCAATGGAGTATTTTGGATTTTTGGATTAGGGATGCTGAACCATTAAGTATAATGTAAATATGTGATCCAAAATCTGAAAAAAACAGAAATCTGAAATACCTCTGGTCCCCGGCATTTCAGAGAGGGGAGACTCAAGCTGCATGTATTTCTTCCCTTGCAAACGGCCTTCTTCTATCTCATGGGGAACCTTTGCGTGAATCAGAAAAGGCCTCCCCTTCCAGATAGCACCTGCCTACTGGGTGCATGTCTTGGTCAGAGGATAACATTATCATGAGAATTAGAAAAAGTTGCCCCTACTTTGGCAAGTGCAGCTTGGCACACAGAGCACAGGCTGGGTTTCAACCCCATTTGACCCCTTGACTGGTGCTGGGACTATATTATAGGGAGACGGGGACTTGGCCTGACCCTGCTCTGCCTTGTTCAAGCCTAGGTAGCTCTAATCCTCTTTCTGCTCTGAGTTGCAGTATAAGCCTGAGTGATTTCTGTTTTCCCTGTTCCTTATGATTTTTTTTTCCAGATTCCATAGTTTGCATTTGTAAGGTTAAAGTCCGATTTGCAGGTATGGCTGGACCCTGTTCCAGTGGCCTTTGGGGTGGCAACATGACAAGGCTTGGGGTTTCCAGACCCGTCTGCCATCCACCAGCTCTGACCTCAGGCACGTCTCTTACATTAGTTTTACTGTCGTTTTCTCTTGCCCAAAGCCTCCGCCCCCCTCTTAGGCAGGTCCCATCCACGGCGGAGGCAGATTTACTAGATTTTCCAGGGTCCCCTTAGAATGCAGGAGGGTCGTGTTACAGCTCCTGCGCTGTGTCCAGATGGTGTCCAGGGCCCCTGGAGTGGCTCCCATGCTGCCACTGCCTCTCTCGGCGTGCCCCCTTCTCCCTCCCCACTTGCATGCTCCGGATCATTTTATCCTCCTGACAACCTCCAGGAGGGTATACATTCCATGGTTGTCCCTTTGGAGAGATAAGGAAAATGGAGCTTAGAAAGGGAGGCCAAGGTCCTTGGTGAGGAATCCAGATGTGTCCCCAGAGCCTGGCTTTGTGTCCCCACAGCGCTGGGCTGCGCTGCGTCTCCCTCAGTGGCCTGCCTCTGCCTCCTGTGTGCCAGCGTGCTCCCTCTGCACCATGGCCAGTCTCCTACCTTCTCACCCTGGAAAGCCTTCTCTCCCCTTCTTCCCCTACCTGAATGATGCCCACTTGGTGCAGGTATCACCTCCCGGTTTCCTTCTCCCCATGTGTTCCTCAGGAGCCCATCTGCCTGGTGTCACCAATCTGTTGTCCCACCACTAGGGAACAGCAGACTGGGAGGAGGCTCAGCACGTGCTGCCTGACTGGGAACTCAGTGTTGGCTGCTCTTTCAGCAACTCTCTTGCTCCTGGCCTTGTCTCTGAGCCTTGGTTCCATTGCCCCAGTGTCCCCAAAATGGCCTTACCTCCTGTTCAGGTGCCAGGGCTTTTCTGAGCAGGGGAGTGAGGCGGAGTTGGCTGCAGGTAACTGAGATTATCCTGGACTCTAGACAGGAACCCTTTGCTGTTGCCCAATACCAGCATCTCTGCGTAAAGACCCTTGTCTGTCCTTACCTGGATAACTCCTGGGGCCCAGAGGCGGGCGAGGATCCTCACTTTAGATCATCCGCTTACTGTGATCTTTTCTCATCTGTTTCCAAGAGACCTCAGAAGCTAGAGTTTCTCCATAGCTCCTCGGTTAACTCAGTGTCAACCAGGAACAGAGGAGAAAGTTTTTACTGACACAGGCATGGACTATAATAGCACAGCTGCATAGGAGTAACTCTTCTGCTCATTACTTCAGCTGCCTCCCAAGCCCAAGTTTAATGGGGTCTGCTCTCTCATGCAGACTCGTACACGGAAGGGCCTCCCCAGCCTTTGCCAGTGTGAGAGATCCACCCCTGCTGGCCAGGTGACCGCTGTATCCTTGCACCTGGGGCACCTGGTTCTGAGACAGCCTGAGTTCTGTTAACCAGGAGGATCTGAGCAGAGCAGGTGGTGTGGGCTGTGAACTGAGCTGGGGTAGGGAATCGCTGCTCTTCCTGGAGCTCAGACACACCCTGCTGCTCGCAGGGGGAGTTCAAGGAGCAGGAGTGGGTAAGATGTGGCAGGTGGAGAAGGCATCTCTGTTAGGGGCAGGTGACCCCTTCAGCCTCTGGTGGGGGCAGGGTATGCACACCTGGGCCTGGTTCTTGGGAGTCTTCACCTTCACTTTCACCTTCTTTTTTTGTTCATCCATGCTACCTTTCCTTGCACTCCCCTTATTTTTAGACTTTTTCTTTTTTAATGGAGACAGAGTCTCACTCTATTGCCTGGGCTAGAGTGCTATGGTGTCAGCCTATGTCACTGCAACCTCAAACTTCCTGGTTCAAGCTGTCCTCCTGCCCCAGCCTCTCAAGTAACTGGGACTACAGGAACCTGCCATAAAGCCCAGCTAAGTTTTTTCTTCCTCTCTTAGTGGAGGCGGGGTCTTGTTCTTGTTCAGACTGGTCTCGAACTCCTGAGTTCAAAGGATTTGCCCGCCTCGCCTTCCAGAGTGCTAGGATTAAGGTGCGAGCCACCACACCCAACTTCTAATTCTTTTTTTGTTGCTGTTGTTAACATATACGTAACATAATGTACCACCTCAACCATTTCAGAGTATACAGTTCAGATAGAGCATAAGGCAAATGCGTAAGTTGTGCAAGGACCACAACCACTCCTCTCCCCAGTTATCCTCATCTTGCAAAACCGAAACTATGTCCTCATTAAGCGCTGACTCCCCAGTCCTCCTCCCTCAGCCCCAGGCAGCCACCATTCTACTTCCTGTGGCTGTGATTGTGGCTATTGTAGCGAGCTCATGTCAGTGGAATCATAACCCCAGGAAGCTCTGAGCCTTGGCCCGGCCCTTGGAACCTTCAGTGTCTGTGCTCTGTAAATCAGTACAGCACCGCTCTCAGCCTGTCTGTCTTCACCAGCACTTATCCTTTGGCAGGAGGACAGGCGGAGTGTGCAGATTGCAAAGCAAGCATTGTTAGTGCTAATGCACGCAGGGTACTGTGGCTGCCGCCGGAAGCCGAGCAGTCCCTCCACAGTGACTGGGGATGGCCCTTGATGTGGGTTTGGTGTTGCCTGCAGCCCTGGCATTTACTCTGGTAGTAAAGGGGTGCTAGTAAGTTCAGCTGGCTTCTGAGTTTTCTTGGGCTTAGGGATGCTTGGGAGCCTTGGGGAACCAGATTATGGGGGTTCATCCCTGAATGCAGAATCTGCAGAGCTTGGTGGTTCACAGACATGTTCACACCCCTCGGGGATTGCTGCTGCTCTTATCCGGAGGCTTGGCACCCAGGCGCTGCAGACGCCACACTGGCCTCACCCCTGCCAGCTGTCTCATCTGCCAGAACGCCTTATTCCAGACGGTCTTGACACCTCTCCCGGGTGTGGTTTGCCTCCGTTGCTATGATTTTGAACTTTCACAGGTGGTGATGTGGATTAATGCAATGCTGATACTGGCTACTGTTTGTCACTTTACATAAGTTTGTTATCACATCTCTAAAACCCTTGAGAACTTAGTTCAGGGTTTTCATCCATTTTTTTTTTTTGGATTTGGAAGAGGCTCAGAAATGTTGGGCGGCTCTCTCAGGCTCACACAGCTAGTAGACAGCACAGGCAAGATGGAAACAGGGGTGTCTGCCTCTTCCCCCTCCCCTGGACTGTAGGAACCTGTATGAATGTCACGATCCTGAGTACTTCTGCCTTTGTGTACCCCTTCTTCCGTAAAACATCTTGAAAATTATATTTTATAGCTGGTTGGTATAAATATGAATATAAACCAGCTAGATATATTCACACATATATTTTCTATTGATGTTAAAATAGTTTTTGGGTTTTTTTTGAGACAGAGTCTCATTTTGTCACCCTCGGTAGAGTTTGTGGCATCAGCTTAGCTCATAGCAACCTCAAACTCTTGGGTTCAAGGGATCCTCCTGCTTCAGCCTCCCAAGTTGCTGGGACAATAGGCATTCACCAACATACCTGGCTAGTTTTTCTATTTTTAGTAGAGACAGGGTCTTGCTCTTGCTCAGGCTGGTCTCAAACTCCTCAGCTCAAGCAATCCTCCTGCTGTGGTCTCCCAGAGCACTAGGATTACAGGCATTAGCCAATACCTGGCTACTACTGATGTTAAAATAAATTTAAACTTTTTCATGGGCCTCTAAATGTGTCACAATCCTTAGGGACTGTGCCTAGGGGGAAAGTCAGCTCTGCTGGGCTGCCTGTCCTTTTGGGGGACAGAGTTGGGGTCCCAAAGAGGGTGGGAGGAGAGAGACAGAGGGCGCGTGGCACAAGTGACTCTCCCTCTTTTCTGCTCAACAGTGCTGGTGGCCTCGGTTTACCCCCGGAAGCCTCAGGCGGTGGAGCGGCACGTCCTTCCCGTCCTCTGGTACTTCTTGAACAACAGGCTTGGGAATGGCATCCCGCCTGGGCACGGCCAGAGCCTCCGCACAGTGGTGTGCCGGCTGTCCCACAGCCTCCAGGAGCAAATGGGCCCCCGCCTGCAGGACTTGGCTGCTGGCCAGCCGGAGCATGTCCTCAGAACGCTCCGGGAACTCTTAGACGTGGAGTCCAGGGGAGGCAGCCACTAGGCCATCGACAGGGGTGGCCCTTGACAGCAAGACAACTGGCAGTCCCCGCCCCTTCAGCTGGACTAAAGACAGCTCCGGAAGGGACAGTTACTGTTTGCTTAATTTTGTTTTATTTTTATGATGGAATCATCTCCTCGTCTCCCTTTCCCCTTAGAGTTTCAGATGCATATAGTATATTTTGCAGTAGCAATAAAAGAATGACTTATTTTTCTAAAGTTTTATTATCTTGTAAGTTTTTTAACCTCAGAGAATTTTCCAGTAACTAGGTTTGTGACAAAACAAAACACAATGGCAGCAAAAGCAGTTGCAGATGATACTGAGATGAAGGTTAAGAAGGAAAAGGGCAGCACAGACCAGCGTGGGGCAGCACAGACCAGCGTGGGGCAGCCCCAGGGGCGTAGGCCAGGCTGCGAGCTGCTGCACCAGCCTTCCTGAGGCCCAGAGTCCCCAAGATGGGCATTCGTTATCGGCCTGAGTGGAAGTGGGTGTGAAAAACATCTCCAGGGACATCAGGCTTCTGCCCTGCAGAAGTTTCAGGGCAGCGTCTGTTGGTCCTGTGGGAACCTTCTGATGACATCTGCCTGACTTACCAAAAGGCAAAGGTAACCTGACACTTGCATTACCTCCTCTAGAAGTTGGTGTTCTGGCTCATTCTGGAGAGGTCTAGAGGATGCTTCACACCTGAAACAGCGTAAGTGAAAACTGGTACCGAGCGCACAGATTATCGGGGAATCTCTGAGAAGTGTGTGGGCGCAATGTGGGCTGAGACCTGGGGAAGCAGAGATGGCCACTGGTGAGTAGCATGGGGTCCTGGCCGGGGACCAGGGGCGGGTCTGTCTTGGATGGGGGTAGTGGCAGGTGAACAATGCTGTGACCAAAAAGAATCAGAGCTCAGGTCTTTACCTCGGATGAACAGTGGGGTAAGGTGAAGGCTGTAGGAGCAGCCCCAGTCCTAGCCGAGAGGCCCCGCCACCCAGCCACACGCTGGGCAGATCCGACTGGCCAGGAACTGGCCGGAGCCTCCTGCTCCCAAATCCCAGTGGCCCCCTCCCCATTGTCACTTGCCCCAGGTCTAACATCAGTTCCACATCCCTATTCTGAGCATCACCTGGGGAGTCTGGCTTAGAAACCCCAGAATCCACTCACTTATGTATTTCCAGACCCTGTGGCCACCTGTGACCAGAGAAGCCACTCTTCCATCTCGCCTGTGTCACCAGGTATAACTGGGCTGGCCCCTCCCTGTGCCCTGGGGTGAGGCTGAGTGGGGTAAGAAGTCATCCAGGGACTTGGGCTTTTCATAGGCAGCTTAAGTGTGACTCTGGATAATTCCAGTCTGGTGAGAGCCGCTTCTCACCTAACTATGACCCCAATTGGACTTCTTGGCAGTCACCAGCTGGTTGATTCTGACTGAACCAGGTTTAAGGTCTGGCAGACAAAGAGCCATCCTGAAATGCCCAGGAACCTGATATTATTTTTAAAGTTTTGCACAATTCAATTAATTGTATTGGTCTGTCATGTGAGCAAAAAAAAATTTTGTTTGTTTGTTTAGTTGGGAGAGTTGTTTTTTGCTTGTTAAGATCCTAAGATGTATCAGAATATGTCAGGAGTTTTGAGAATCGTAGAAGCCCAGGAACACTGAGTCTGGCAGGGATTTTGATGACAAAAATTAAGCTCAGCTGCACTGAATCATCTTCCAGGCTGGTCCTTACAAACACAGCTTCCTGCCGGCTGGGGTCTGACCTCAGCCTTGTGGGTGGAGGTGTTGCAAACAAATGGAAGCATCAGAAAGCAATGAAAAGACCTTTGCACCATTCTGTTTTCCTTCATTATTTCAGGTTTGTATCTAGTTCCAGGCAACAGAAGGCTCTGCTGGCCACACCCCTGGTGCTGCCAGGCTGGGCCTTGGTGGCCTGGGTGTACTCTGGGTGTACCTCAGGGAAGTTTGGTCTCTAAAGACTTCTTCACATCATTAACTTTAAAGAAAGGGAGGACAGGACATTAGGAGCCCAGTCTGGGTCCTTGCTGGGAATACTAGGGCAGCCGGTCAGGGGAAATGAAGACTGTACTGAGAGCAGGGCTGGGCAGGGGCTGGGCTGTGTGTGGGGCCGGGACTCGCTCTGGAGGTGGGAGCGCAGCCTCTGCCGGGAAGGTGGCTCTGCCTCAGAGGAGAGGCACAGACTAAAGACTGGCCTGAGAACGGAAAAGTCAGGACTCCTTTTTACAGCAAGTGGAGTTTTTGAGATTTTAGGAAACGTTTTCAATAGGCCTCACCTTTTGTCTTATTTTCTCTTTCTTTTATTACCTTCCACTTTCTGAGATGGTAAATTTTTCTCCCCTCTCTCTGTGCTTCAGAATCGACTGTTATATTTGAGAAATACTGGGACCTGGAACACTGCCCCAGGGATTTGGAGGTGATTGATCTGGGGTGAGGCCCAGGTGGTTGTATTTTTCTTTCCCTTTCCTCCTGGATAATTCTTATGACCAGCTCAATTAGAAAACCACAGTAAAAACATTGAAGTGCTGAAAAGTGGCCGTGGCTTTGGCCCTGTGGGCTTCTGGTGCCAGCTCCCTCCTCTCACAGCCCTGGGGTGTTTTGGGGTTGGGGGCAGAGGCCTGTGGCTTGGGGCCCCTTTGTCAGCCTCTCGGATCTTCACTCTGCTCATCAATCTGCTGGTGAAGATAGTGAGACGATTCTTGTGAAAGACTTAGGACAAGGCACAGGGAGTGTTCGGTACAGTATCTCAGTGCTGAATCCGGGTCTTGGGTGGGCTGCCCTTGTGGTTGGGGAAGGAGAGAATGTGCTCAGGACTTGGTGGGGCCTGAGACACCCCACCCCTTACCCCACCCCCTTGTTCCTGCCCCTCCCTGCTCAGGAAGCCGGGGCTGTCCCCACACGCTGGGGCCTATTCTCCAGCTCCTTCCCCTTTCTCCTCACCTGATGTGACCCTCACAGCCACCACTCCCACCCGAGAAGAAAACCTGAAAGGCCTTTCCCCTACCTGGCTGACTGTCTCCCTCCCCCATGTGACCCCAGTAGCTGAAGGCCGGGGGATTTGTGGCAGAACACGTTCTTGCTGAAAGCATTATCCTGTCTTTCAAACTCAGTTCTGCCATTACCAAGAGAAAGGGGGAAAGGACTCAGATAAGAGATGTCTTCTGTTCTTGGAAGGCAGGAAGGAAGCTGGGGGCCCAGAGAGGGGAGGCGAGAGGAAGAGCCCACCTCTCCACTGACTGCAGTGCCCCAGTCTGTCAGGCTTCTTGGCATCTTTTAAGGAAGACATTGTCCCCTCACTTCCTGATGGGGAAACTGGGCCTCAGATGTTTAGTGAGCAACCTCAGCCAGGGCACAGGGCTCCCCTAGGAATCTTGTGAAAGTGCGGATTCTGCTCCGGCAGGTCTGGGTGGGGCCTAAGGTTCTGCATTTTCCATCAGCTCCCAGGCAATGTTGAAGCCATGGGCTTGCCAGGAACCACACTTTGGGGGGTCAGGTCCTACAACACAGCTAGAAAGTGGCTGGAGCTTGGATATGTGCCCAGGTCTGTTTGACTCTGGTGTCTGTTCCATGATGCTTTATGGCTCCAAGACATTTACCTCCCCTTGGGTCATTCTGACCCCAGAGTTTTACCCCAAAGGGCAAAGAGGGGCTGCTTGGTTGGCTCTGGTCATCAGGATAAGCTGTGGACACTTAGCCATGCACCCCCAGGCCCTGGTGGGGATAGGATTTGGGGAACTAAATGAAAACCAATGCACAGACCATTCAGTGCTTGCTGAAGTGAGGGAGCTAGCATGATTACTTGCATTTTGGTAGAGACTGAAAAGCAAGCCGAGAAATTCTAAAGCTTTATAGTGGAAAAAAGAAAGCTGCAGGCATGCTGTGGTGGGAGGCTATTGGTCTGGGGAAGCACAACCGTCCAAAATGTGGACTATGGCCTGCTTATAACAACACCCCTCATGGTGCTTGGTAAGTGCAGATACCTAGTTGAACTCCAGATCTCCTGACTCAGAATCTCGGTCACTTGTACACACCCTGAAGGCTAAGAGCCTCTGGGCCAGTCTCAGTGCTCTCAGCAGTAGTTAGGTTCCCAGGCTAGCTCATGGGGAGTCAGCATTCCTAAGCCAGGATTTCCAGAACTGCCTGGGGGTAGGGATGGGTGAGGGAGACAGGGAAAGTGCTGCGTACTCTCAGATTCTTTGTCTCAGCTGTAACTCTGTCTCTGGAGGGAGGGGCCTGGGAATCTGCAAATTTTCCAGTGTAGCTGCTTCCTAAGATGAGGAAGGTTGGTGGGCACAGCGTGCTAACCGCTGCTCCCAGCCAGGCTTCAGGCAGCATGGGTGGCACACTGTGTGCAAATGTGCTTCCTGGAGGGTACTTCTGGGCCAGGGACCACTTGGGGACTCCTGTTTGGTCCTTATCATCATTGGGGTTTATGGAGAGAGCATGACAGGTCTGCCGTCTGTAGCCTGTCCCCTGGTGTTTCACTGAAGAAGGCTATAGCATTTGAAGGTTTTGTTTTGTTTTAATCAAGGCTCTATAATTACCTCTCTACGGGTTGACAGCTGTTATTAGCATCACCTTGGATTCTCCTTGAGAATTTTACATCCAGAAAGTGATCTGGCACTTCTGTGGCTGGTGTCAGAAGCCATTAACTAAATAATAGCTTTAAAAAGTCACCAGGTTTTGTAAACACAGCCAATCCTGTCTCCTTCCAAAGGAGAAAAAAATAGCTAGATAAATAATTTTCATGAAGGTAATTTGTTTCCAGGGTCTATATTCTTTTCTGCCTCATCGGCTGGCTTTTACTGCTATGGCCACTGGCAGTGTGCAGCCACTCCAGAAGGAGGCTGCATCTGCTCCTGGCTGGCTCTTCCTCTGGAAGCCCACTTTTGGGGTTCACAACGACCAGCAAAGAAATTTGGGAAAAGACTTTTCTTTCTCTCTTATCTATGTGTGGAGGGTGGCAGGAGGGAGGGGGCGTGGTTGAGGTTCTCAGAGGGGATTA